GCCACGTACGAAAAGCCCCGTTGGCGTGTGGTAAAAACCGGTGCCAGTGCAGGTGTGACGTGCCTCTCAATTATTTACCGTTTTCCCACCTCTCGCTCTTTCTCCATTCTACCCATCGAAAAATCATTTTTCCTCTTCTTCCCTTTCTTGTGTTCGTTACGCGTTATTAGTTGCCAAGGATTTTCTCGTAAGTGGAAAATTTATGAGAAAAATTGAAAAGGGTAGAGTTTCATTACCTTTTCTTGTACAAACGATGAATAGTATCGATGGTATAGATAAGAATAGAGGATAATCGAGGAAGTCGAAGGGATTAAAATTCTTAATTTCATTAGCAAAATTAAAAGCACAGCAGCTATTATCGTCGCGGATTAGAATTATTATCGAAATTAGAAGATGGAAGTTGCAAGATAAGCAAATGGCGTACACAGAGAAAAATTCTTGTATCGGAAATTCAGGTTAACCGAATGCGCAATTATTGTTCCAAATAAATATATAATCGTAATAAATATAACTGGATGTAACTCGAAACTTTGGAACTTTCGCGAATTCTTGCCGAAGAACCGTTGCGCGTTCGTGGAAAGAGTAGATTATAAAAGAAATTCCGCGAAAAATTAGTTATTCCCCCAGGTGGCAGGAAAATCACTAATTACAAAGCACGATGCAGCCAGGTTGAACCACGCGCATCTCCATCGTCCGATCGCGACGCAGCGTTATACAAAGACGATGCTTTTTTGCGAGGCGCTGGCCATCCTAGATACGCCATCTTTCTTGGAACAGAAACGCGGCTACTATTAAAAATGCATAAAAGTAGCTCGTTAACAGGCCAGACTCTCTAACGATACGTAATTAGCAGATTATCAAAATCATTAACATTCAGCCGCGAGATTTAATGGATCTTAATAAGGAGAGAATTTAAAAGAAAATTAGTCGAACTTCGAAGGGACGATTACTATTGTCTGCCGGCGTATAGAAAGATTATCTCTTATCCGATCTGATAAGAAAAAAAAATGGAAGGAAATTGTTCTAAGGAATTTTTCTATGTAATCTAACGATGAAATACTCGGGCTACGACGGTAATCTCGCATCGCTTTACATCCAAAATTACTCCACCTAAGATCGTATTCCACGAATCCAACTATCGCCACGTAACGAATAATCGCACTTGCGAGAATTTCTCCTACTCCGTCATCGCTTCGCGGCTCTACTTTCCAAGCATTCGTACCGAACTTTCTAGAAAATCGCGAATCGGTCATCGTCGGTGAACATTTATCGTTAAACCGCGAGCAGCCGCAAGTATCAGTCTGTTATCAGCAACCACCTACCATCTCCATAAATCATCCCGATAAAAATCACGTTTCGTGAAATTCTTAAGCCACTCGTCGAACAAAAACGCTGAAACGCGCAGCTCGAGAAACAAGAAAACGTCTCTGAACTTTTTCGCTCGTGATTCGTGGCCAGCAACAGAACGATTAATTATAAAGTTCGATGCTGCCAGGTTGCTCTAGATCTTAGCTCGCGATACAACGTTTTCTGCAACGTTGTATGAAAAGAGCGGCGGTTGTTGCGCAACCGTGGCCACTCTGTGCGATCTTTCTGGAATAATTGCCTGTTCGTGACGTATCGTCGGTCATGAGAAACAAACGGTTCCGTGGAAGCCGCTGCACGCCGATTTTCATCGATTTTGCCACGGGACGGCTAGACACTGCCTGCTCGGTGTAGCCGCGAATACAATACTTACGTGTGCAAGTGTCGAGCACTTCCGGTTCGCCGAGGGTAAAGAAGAGGCGAGACTCAAAGGGGAGCCGAACGGTTCCGTGGCAAACGACCAACCCTAGAAATCCTCCTCGCGTTACGCGAAAGTTCTTTATACTTTTTTCTTACTTGGAGGCTTTGGAAATAAAGATCTTGAGTAAGAGAGAATCGGCGATTTGTGATTTTTCAGATGATGAATTAACCTTAACGTTAGTTGTACGTAACGTTAGTCGATCTAAACTGAAAGAAGGGATTACGATAAATAAATAAAAGGATCGATTAAGAGTTTCGAAGGAAAATGTGGTGTACGATGGTATTTACTGTAGCGTTTATACGTACTAGTTAATTAAGTTCAAGTACATCGAGTTTCGTATCGTTTGGTAGCACTTTCACGCGGCTACAAAATTTTAATACTACGAAATTGAAACGTAGAACCTGACAAAAAGGACGCTCCGTTGGAGAATAAGATAACGTAGAAATACGTTTTCTAGTCGCTGTAAATATTCGAACTTTTAAGTCACGGAAACGATAGAGAAACTCGCATATGCGTCTACTCGTATCACTTTTTCACTGAATCTTTCGATCGCTTGTAAAAATTGTTGGCGAAAGAGATTAAGAAGAGCGAAAATTTGTAGTTTTCGAGGTTATGAATTAAAAAGTTCGAAGGAGAATGCGATACGAATATGAAAATCTTTAAATCGTGGCAACGATATAACGCGTGTACTTGTACCTCTCTCTCTCCTTAAATCCTTTTATTGTTTATAAAAGTGATCTATGAAAGAAGTTGGGACTCTACTACCGTACTATACTACTTTCGATATCGTAAGAAGAAAAATAAATTTTTAATAAAGCACGAAAGATCGTATAGCGTCGGCGAGTCATCAAAGACGCGTAATTGTTACTCGTTAGGATATAAAATTTATCTCCCGCGATTTTCGCATCGCATCCACTCGAGATGATCGCGCGATCGCTTTAAATTGCTATTATTATTATTATCGTTAATTACGCTGTTCGTTATATCGTGATAACGTAACGTACAATCGCGTAAAGTGTTTGTTACATGAAAAATTCGAATAAAATTGGAATTGGGAGACACGCGCGGTACGATAGTCAGTTCTTCGTCAACTGGTAGTTCGAGTATATTTTACGAATATTTCGTGTCTCGAGTCAGGACTTAGTCGGACAAATGTACGAATTCGTCGAATTCTGTAATAATTGTTTACTTAGCGTGCGATGCTTTATCAAATCGTTGTGATAGCGGTACGAAACGTTATACATTCCGTTAATACAAAACTCCTGACTCGATAAAAGATTTAAATGGCATTCGTTTTATTATTATTACTTTCTCGCGTAACATTTTTCTGATATAACAAACAGTTTACGAATAAAACTTCGAACGAACGAGTTAGGCGAATCGATGCCATTCCCAAAACGAAATGTAGCAAAATTCGACGACTGGTATTCGGTACAGTTGATCACCGTTTCTAAATCTTTTCCGACTCGTGATTCCAAGAAATTCATATTTCTTGCCTACCAGTGATTACGTTCGATGATTGCGTCGTTTTATTACTATCCAATCTACTAATAATCTTGATATTTATAGCGGCGTAGAAACTTACGACCGATCTAATTACGCGTCGTACAAATACGTAGACAAGGAGAAAGTAGGTGGAAAGAAATATTAAATAAAACATGGTATAATGACAGTAATGGCATTTATGAATAATTATCAACGTGATTTCTTATTTCTCCCCTTTTCTTTTCTTTTCTTTTCTTTCCTTTTCTTTTCTTTTCTTTTCTTTTCTTTCCTTTTCTTTTCTTTTCTTTTCTTTTCTTTTTTAATTAAAACGTAAACCTGGACGACGAACGATTACACTCCACTACGTACACAATCGTATTGTGTCACGTTGTCCATTAGATACGTATGCGAATAGGAATGTTTTGATTGGCTACAATTGGAATTGTTTCGCGATAATGATTCGAATTGCGTATAGCATAGTGGTACTTCGATTGATTTGCGATTCAAAGGTTTTCATTCAACTAGAGAGCATTGGTTAACATGGTCGTGGAACAATGTGCTTATCGATCGAGCAAAAAGGTAATTGCCTAGTTTTCTAAATTTGATCATCTTTCTCGAGAATTAATGCGAAACTTATCGGTTTGAAATTTTAAGCAGCAGTATTCGATAAAATTATTAATTAATGCAATTTTTCGTTATTCGTCGATGTAACTCTTCGTACAATTCAATTCAATTCCAAATTCGAGATGATGAAATTATCGCAAACTAAAATTAGTTTAATTAGAACTTAAACGGTATCGCGAAAAATATTCCTCGTAAAGGAGAACAATATCGATCGGAAAAGTACGAAGAAATTAACGCGATACGCGTTTGTTCTAACGCGTTCTAACATGTTTGATCTGTACAAGACAATACCTTGAACTACTCCGTCAAAACGATACAAACAGATCGATAAAGACTGGCAATCCTTTTCATCAAGAATAAACTACACGCCGAATAAATTACTCGTTGAACCGTGAACTATCAAGAAAAACACGATCAAGTAACATTTGAGCGTATTTTAAAGATTCAGAGGAAATATATTATCATCGAAATCGCGAGATATTGTAATCGTATAATTTTACATAACATTTCCGACTTTTTTACAATTGAAATCAAATTACACATAAATTATATTCGCGATTGTAACGTCGCTCGTTCGAGCCAATTACTGTCATTAATAATACGTCTCGTTATCGATGGAAAAGTAATACTACCTCGTTTTTCCATCCATCTCTACTTAAAATCCATACCTCTCTATAAAATTTGATTACACGATGTATCTCGATATTAGACAGCGTGCATTTGAACCTGCATATTTCTACAAAAATTTAAAAAAAATTCAAGATTTAGACGACCAGACTTTTCCATTACAACTTGTTACAAATGAAATTTCTATTCTCCCGTCGATCGTCGGTCGCGATATTTTGTCAAAGCAAAAGTTTCATCGTCCGTATTACTTTTCCTCCAAATCTCTCACTTACGTATATCTACCTGCGAGTTTCTACGCCGCTTCGTCGAAAGAAAGAGAAAAGACGAAACTCTGGCGAACATTGAGAAAATAACGAAGATAAAGTATCTCTGTTCTATATACGTATTCGAATTATTGGAAAGCATGTTGTCGTCGATCGTTCCATTCGGAACGTTTAGTTGTCTAAGAGACGATTTCTAATTGTGTATTCTATTACAGACCTAGGGAGCCCATTCTTCCCTGGTGGTCCTGAATTGTGGCACCATCCACTGGCATACTCGACCGCTGGCGAATTACCCGGCACGCTGCAACACGCGACGCTGGTGCATCCGGCGTTACATCCTCAGGTCCCCGTACGTTCCTATCTTTGACTATCTGCAGACAAAGCTCTGGAGCCGCCGACGAGCGCCCCGATGCACGTTAGTGATACATGATCGTTATACTCGATTATTATACGATACATCTAGCAGGTAGACACGCACGCAGAGTGAACGCCAAGAACCAGCGTACCACGGCTCGACCTGGTTCGAACGACGGGGTAACGTGTTCGAATACGGTCCGTCTTCTTTGCACGTCGTCCAGAACAACGTATTTTACGTATCGTAGATTAAATTCCGCAGTCACGCGCACAGAGTCGATTAAATGCAATTAACTAGATTTTAACGATCAACGCTCGCAACTCGATTCTATCGATTATCTTTATTTTCTTTCACAGTGTCATTCTCCGTATAGAATTCGAACAACCTGTAATCCATTCGTCTTACTTTATCTAACCACTAGCCAAATTAGACGTATCGTTCGTCGATACGTTCGAAAACACGAATGACGAAAAGTCTTAAAAACCGACAATAATTGGCTACGTTGGTGTTCGAAAGAACGTGACGACATCTAAAACGTAACAGAGTATTCGAACAAATTACCCCAAAAGTTACACAAACTCGTACAACAACTCAAAGCGAAATTACTCTATGTAGATATCGCACAAACCCTGCAAAGAGGACCGTCTAAATGTCAAAGACGGAAACACGGCGTCTTTTTCAGCTTAAATGAAAGACGAATACGGCGAAAGAATCGCTCGTGCCGCTTGTTACTCGATCGCGAGCGTGACGATATCGATTTTAAGACCTCTAGACTTTCCTTGCAAGTAAAGCTCGCGGAAGTTAATTACGGCCGCGGGTTAATTATCGCGACTATTAAATCCCGTCGTAAATAAGAAGAAATTATTTCTTCCTTCTGTTCGTTCTCGTTTCTTTCTGCTTCCCGTTCCTTGTTTCCCGTGTATCGCGAAATTTTCAGGCAGGCACCGTGTCTGGCTGATTTCTCAACGGCAAGTAAGAACGATGCTGGTACAACCGGGTACGAATTGGGGAAACGGCCAGCACCTATTGATTTTTAATATCGCCTAGTTCTGTACCAGGTTCACGCGGGTACCTATCACGCACCATCGCCAAACCGTATCGAACAGCTTTTCTTCGTCGGCTACCGTGACAACGTGGAAAAATATCAGTCAAAAACATCAACAACAAGAACAACAACAACAACAACAAATATATGCTTTTGACTGATAGAACGAAAAATTCGTCCGATCGAGAAATGTTTGTCCGTAGCGAAAAAAAAACTGGGGAAAAAAGGATTTGAAAGTGGAGTGACTGTACCCCTGGTCAAAATAAATTAAAGGTCGTTGAAAACGTTTTAAGCGGGCTACGATCGTTCGGTGGACCGTCGTGTATCGTGGCAATTTTTATTTCGACTTGTTTTTTTCTTTTGTTTTTTAAACAGAACCGAAAATAGGCCGATTCCGCGTGTCGAAATAAATCGAATGGTGAAAGCAGGTTTGATTAAAGAGAAAAAAGGTTTTTCGAACGAGATGCTTCCAGATACATTCGTTTTGATGTAACAGAAATCGCAAACGGTATACGGCGTTAGTCGCGGAAACGTGTCGAACGTGACGACTCGAGTGGAAATGATAGAGATAATTTTGATTTGTTGTTTCTTATGCCCCTTCTTCCTTTCTTTCGTCTTAATTGTAGATCGAAGACCGATCGAAAAGACCGATCAATGGTTAACGATTGATTGATAAATAAGCGATTGCCAATCGAGGAATTTGTATTGTACGTAGAATACATTTAGTAATTTGGAATCGTGTTTCAAAAACAGTTGATAATTTAATCGTTTGAAAGATAAGGGCAATTTTTAGATCCAATATCGTTACTTTACGGCGTCTAAATATTTTGTCGGTGGCAACTAAAACTAGAATGTCATTGTTTATTAACCACCTAAATAACTGGATATTGATTTTTTTGATAAAACTGTTTCGCGGTATTCCTCCTCTTTCTTTCGCTCTTCGTTCGACGTTGCAAATGTGAAAGTCAGGTATCTTACACCACCGTCATATTTCGTTATTCAACGGAAGTTTTACGTTTGATATCGAACGTGGGTCGAGTCAATGACGCGCCCACGCGGCACAGAACCTGATAATTGACAAATCTGCTATCATTTCGATCGACTAATTGCGAAATAATTGCACGTGGAAAAAAGTTTTTCCGTTAAAGCATCCAACGGAAACATCGTATTTCCTATTGTTTCACGATTATCAGTTCGATTATTTACTACCTAAACGATAGAGCGGATTTCAGTGAGATTGGCAACGTAATTAAAGAACTTCGGAGCGTAAAGGAAAGAAAGGGGATCGTATTAAAGAGACGACGCTTGAAAACTGTTTAACTTTTCGCTGAATTAATAAAGACGGACGGTTGACGTTCAGTTTTATAGGCGGTAACATTAAACGAATAAATATTGACGTTTATTTAATTCTATAATACGAGAGAGAAGCATCTCGGGTTCGACCTGAAACGGCCGTTTCAACCGCTTGTAAATACCACTATTTTCCTCGGTCGAAATAAAAATGTTCCACGGAATCCGCTTGACGTGATAACGAGGCGAAAGCTCGGCTAAATAGAGAATATTTCACTCGCGAACTTTTTGCGTTCTGCTTTCAGAAGAGTTCCTATAGTGACTCGAGATTTTCCTAATTCCGTTTCTGTTCGTGACATCGTTGAAAAAAAAAAGCTGGTCGGAGAAATTTGCATTAAAAAGAAAAATTCCTTTCGAATCGAAATATTATTCGTTATTATCTGGGAATAAAAAAAATATACTTTCCTGCTCGACGAGTGTCCATTGAAAGAACTTCTTTGTATTCGTTGTTATCGTTGGGAAAAAAAACGCTGGAAAATATTTATGTAAAAATTCCTTTCGAAGCGGAAACTGTTCATCGCGGTTTATCGATACAAATACTCTCGTCTTCGATAAGTTTCTATTCAAAATCCTTCTTCCTTTGATTTATTTTACAATAATAACGTTCACCGCAGTGTTAAGACACGCTCGAAGGTATTTGCATAATAATTTGATTCGAGGTGGAGGCTATTCATCGCGATTTACGAATAAAGATACTTTCGTTTTTAATAAGTTTCATACCGTGGACAAAATTATCATCATTTACGAATAAAAGTACTTTTTGTTCGGGATTTCACTTTTTGGTTCGCGATATGTTTCGGCGTAAAGAAAATCGAGGCAGGTCGAGCAGTCGATTTTGCAACGCTCGACAAAAGAAAACGCAGCAACGATGCAGCAATACAGGATTTCCGAAACAAGTAGCGCAATACATAATTACACGGGCATTATGGTAACAACGATATGTTACGACGTGAAATTGCGAATTGATTGCGCGACACGGTACGCTCTAGCAAGAATTTCCGCAGCACGTCTTGCTCGAATTCAAATATCTCAAACATTTTTTGCACAATACGCATTGTAGTCCTGTACTAAAATTCAAGAATATCCGCCTGAAGAATTTGGATTAGTCGAATTATCCTAATAAACGGTCAAATTATTTCAATGATTCTATTCCATCCTAACAAAGAGTTCAACCGTTCCAGCAGTTATGTACATTGCAAGTATCTCTGCGATTTTTAATCTGCCATAAATGGGTAAAGATGCACCATCGTCTCTGCCTCGAGTAAGGAAATAACCAGATAGTTTTGGATAGTATTTTTTACGAGAGATAACTTTTCGGAAAATAATTGGACTTGAAATTACAAAGTGGTTATGGACTCGCGCGTTTCTGAATAAAAAGTAATCCGGCTGACCGCCGAGATTATTTCTCGGTTATTCGATCGTTAATCGCGAAGCCGCTTCTTGTAACGTTGCTGCAAATTATGCTGCATTCGTATTTAACACGGTTCTTGCGTTAATTAATCCACGCTCGGTAACTCGGTCATGGACTTTAGTTTCAGTGGTACAGGCCTGCGTTGTTTCGTCGATTACATCTAAATTGTACGTAAATCGCGAAGTATTAGGCGATATTAATGTCATTCGTTGTTTATACATAAGTACACCGTGTTACCGCGTCAGGGATTCTTCTTGAAAAAAAAAAATATTGTAAGAAAAATGCGAGAGTAATTTGAAGAAAAAAGAAAGTAGAAATAGACTTGGTTCGTTTTTGTGGACGTTTAGATAGGTCGAAGAGTAGACGTGGTTAAATAAGGCATGAAACGTAAAACGAAGCTCGTGAACGCCTCTGTTACTTTTGGGAATATGAAAGCGCGAAACTCGAATAATCGACTATGTACTTTGACATTTTTTTGAAATCAAGTTATACGGTTATTCTTGCGTTCTTAAGATCGTTAACTGCGATTAACCTTTTCTAATTGATTTAGACGCGACCTAAATATGGTTCGAACACAACTGAGATCTGAACGAAGAATGCGAAACGTATAATACTACGATCGATACAACGTCACTGTAAATTTCACCACTTTAAAACCAAAATGGAAAATAGAACTCATTTTGTATGGAAATTCTCTTATCCCTTTGTACGGAATAAACGGTCGCTTTCAATTTCCTAGAAAATTTTTCTGTATCTCCAAACGTGCCAAATAACGTTTTTAATCTCCAATCTCTAACAAATTTTCGTATCTTTCAACTAAATATGTAATTTTTCTCAGTTTGTCTCAGCAACTGCAAACGTCGTAACGGGTACTTTGAACTTTTCGCATACTTTTGGACATCACGCGTACTTTGTCCTGCATCCTTAAATCTCACAAAAATGTATAAACATTCGTAATCTAACGATAAATAAGTATAAGTAGAGTAGAATTGCATTTATAGGAACGAATTTTTAATTAATACCTGACTAACTAAACCGTCCTCGATTGCGATCGTCGATCTGAACGCGAGTTTCAGTTGCTCGAAGGAAAAATGCTTGGTTGCGTGAAAAATTAATGAACCGCTATTGTATAAACTGCTTATCCCCCAGGAAACTTCAGGTAAATGGAATTCTACCGTGCAGGAATCTAGTATTCAATAAATATAAATAGGAATCTAGCTACTACTGTAAAACCGAGTCTATTTCTTCGCAATAACGCCAAAATGGAGATCGTTACATACAGAGTGTCTAATCTAACTCGTGATTATTCTCCTATTTGTGATGATACAAGAGAGTGAAATATAAATTTTCAAATTCGACAAAGCGACACAAGAAATTACCTAAACTATTTTGGACGTGTTAAAAAACTGTAATCTCGCGTTTCGACAATGCCGTATCGATGATAGCGTTATGAACAATTATTTATTATTATTACATTGGATAACGTTTGATAACGTTAAATTTTCAAGTAAATGTATCGGTAACGGATAGTGCGAAAAACGCGAGTTTCTAGTGTTTCGAAAACGTCTGAATGTAAGCTACAAGAATACGTAATAAAAAATGGAGGTCCGTTTCAAAATTCTAATATCACCTTTACAGAACATTTTAAGATCATCGCAGCATCGAGTAGATAAAAACGCAGTACGTCCTCGATACCACGCAACTCCTCTCTGAAACATACTTAGTATCATCGCAAATAGGAGAGTAATTAAACCATTAAAGACCGAACATTAGTTCATCGTAATTTATAGATACTTTAGCTTCCTGCAATTTCATAAAATTTTTAAGTCTAAATGAAAGCGATGTGAAAGATATTAGTCGAATTCTCTGGAATTTCCTCTCAGATGCAGGATATTGAAAAATATACAAAAATTCAAGGATGCAAATTAATTGAAAAAGGGATCGATGAAACGTAGCGTAGATGCAACGTTGGTGATTGATGATTGAATGGGACACCCTGTATATATAGATCGAGGTACCTGTACGTAAAGATATATATAGAGGAAGAAAGTAATAGTAAATAAATACAAGAATCTAATAAATAGAGGGGACGAAACGATAAAATTACAATGATGCGAGTAAATATAACGTGCACGAAAACGTTCATATTCTCAAGTAACAGAGTCGTTCACCGAGCCAGAGCTACACACGAATGCCCAACATCGAGTCGAATCGAGTCGAAGATCGCGAATAACGCTGAAAAATTTGTGTTTTTCTTTTTCCAGGCGCCCATGTCTCTGCCGCATCCTACGACGCTGACGTCGATACACGCGTCGCTGCCCCATTTCCTACCTTCGCCGGCACTGGCATCGCCGGTAGGTTCACCCTCGTCCCAGCCGAACATAGCAGTGAGCAACGCGCCCTGTTCCACCTTGTTCGTGGCGAACCTCGGCCAGTTCGTGTCCGAGCACGAGCTCAAGGACATCTTCAGCAGGTTAGAAATACGCACAATCGTTCGCAACCCCTTTATTTCCATCTTTACAGCTATCGAACCGAACAAAAATTGTCCGTTCGACTCTTTTTATTATGCATCAAGCGTCGCGTGCTGTGCATACACGCGTACCTCTGTCTCCGTATATTTCCAGCGTACGATCCTTATTTTCTCGAGGCTTTAGAAAAGTTTCGTGAAACTCAACCGCGAGACAGACTCGCGGTCGCTGTTTATAAGAATAGCAAACAGACTCGAAGGACTCCAAATTGTGGCCGGGGTATGTGTTGCACGGATATCGAGAAGTTTGGACATGAGATCGGTAGTGTCTGTATTGTAAAACCAAACTATCGATGCTTTAGGGTTATCGATCGAGAGAGTTAAAAGATTGAAATTTATATAAATAGATAGAAATGTACACATAGGTAGGTTCATAGATAGTTAGGTTGAAATTTATTGATTGATCGATATTTATTGATTAAGATAGTAAATGAAATATATAATTGGTCAGAGGATTGGGAATAAGTAAATAATTGATTTGGGTTGTAAATGAAATTGTAGGGTATGCAGATTTAGAATAAATAATTATAAGCAAATTCATCGAGTGAGATTATAGATAAAATAATTGGTCGAACGATTGGAAATAAATAATTCGTTTGGATTATAAATGAAATTGTGGGTTACGTAGGTTTAGAAAAGTATGAGATTTCAATTGTCCATGTTAGGCTTGTTACAGAAAAAATTTGTTACGAGAGTTCTACCAGTTTCAAGTTTCTCGGCTTTTCTAAACCAATTACGCCTAAATGATCGATACTCTAAGCAAATAAAATAATCTCTAAAAAGAAGGGGAAATATCAAATCTCCGGAATTTACAATCGGTGCTCAAGATATAATTTCTTACTATACAAATATACCTGATTTTCAAACTACATTATCTTTCCTATAGAGTGGAATAATAAACATTTATCGGAGTAGATTGCAAATTATTCTACCTGACGTGGTATTTAATATTAAGAACTTTTTACGCGATACTATAATTTTTAACATTTTTAGCGTAGAAATATTATTACCAATATTTGTGGTCAATAATAATTCTATACAAATTTTTGTAGTTAGAGAAGTAAAAATATTCCTACGCTGATACAATTCTACGGTAAATCTACGAATTTTACGAATTTAGCATCCTGGCAGGGTAACGCCGATCTTCGATCACGAACGATTTCACGAGAAAAACTCAGACGCGTGTAAAATTTGTGTTTATACGATTGGTCTTCCGGATTTAATCAGGTAGAAGAAACTTGTACCGGTAACGAAAACGAGAACAGAAAAAGTCCAACAATAGCTGGTGGAAGTTGCGTAGATTAAAATAATGACTTCTCGAACAAATTCCTCCTCCAAAAACGAAATCAGAGGCGCGGTCCGCTAAAATTGACTCTACGCCACGTGCGCTAATTGACACGCGAGACTTTTATCGCGACACGCGTTACACCTCGTAAATTACGTTTCGAGAACGCGTGGTTGGGGCAGACAGAATTAAATATTCAATTTCACAACTTCGAATATAATAATTCTCGCGCCAGACCATCTGCGGATGTAGAAAATTTTATAACTCGAATTTGGATAATCATTTTGTAGAAAAAGACGAATTAAAATTGTACGAAACGTTTGTAGAAAGTGCGATTATATTTTATAAGAAGCTTCGATTAGAAAACATTGATTTCGTCTTTAAAACTGGGTGTGGTTTGACTTTAGATTCGAAAAATTTGTAATTGTAGATTTAATAACGTATGTAAATAAGAATCTTATTTTTACTATTTCAAGCCTAGATATAGTATTAAATATAATCATTGACTACACGCGCGACGATATAACGTTTGTAAAATACAAAATAAAGTTCACAGATCAAAGAAAGATTGAGGCGATAGAAACGATAAAAAAGATATCGATTCGTACTTGGAAAAATGATTATTCTAGCTATTATTCGAAAATTATTTGCAATATAAAAATCGCGTATCTCGAGTGTTAAAAAAAAAATAAATAAAATATTTAATACCCGTAGGAATATATCCAGCTTCGATCCAGCGTTATCCAGTGGTCTCTCTATCGTGCATAATCTCGAAAGCGTGCGACGAGATTTATTAGACCGAGTCAAATCAGTCAAACAACCACGCCATGCTTCGTTGATTTTCAAAGTCTTTCTGTTCAAAATAGAAGCTCCATAAACGACACGCTCATCCTACAATTTTAATTCGTATCTTTGCTTTCAAACTCGCGTGAAGATTAATTTTTTCAATTTTACTAAAATTTCAATTATTACGTTGAATACTCGGCGCATATTACAAGAAGAAACTTTGAAATTGAACGGAAAAAATTGATGCTAATCGTGAAATGTATTTCGATGTTCGACTCGTAGTTTTCTGTGTACAGATGCATGTACGGATACGAGAGCAAATAGTCTCGAAGTATGTTATCTCCGGCGGACATTACGCTTCGCGGTCGCGTAGCAAATTATTTTTGCCTGCCCCGTCATGCGGAACCTTCCCACGACACCGAGTACACGCGTTCGACCGCGTGTTAGATCGCGTCTGCTTGCATCCGGGAAATTCTTTCCATATCTCTCCAGTAAACAGTCAACGTCATTTAGAATAATCGATAATTCATTAGTCGCGACCATTTCTATTTAGGGAACACGGAAAGAAATTTATAGAAATTTCGTGGTACGATCATAGTAAAAGGACCGTAGTACGCGTCGACGAATATTTCGAACGGACTGCATCTGGCGCATCATCGACTTCGAACGGTTTAACGGGAAACAAACTAACACCGAGTTTCTCCGCGAGAAACAATCGGATTAACGAAAATCTGCCCAAACGGAGAAACGTAAACATCGTCCGAGCGTATGCAAACGCGTTTAATCAACTCGCGCAGCTATTTGCGAATTCATACGCGCAAACCGGAGATTCGCGGATATAACGAGATTCTGCGTGTTAATTATGCAAAACGCGGAGGCAGCGCTCTTCTTATCTTTCTCGCTCTTTTCCTTCGACGTAGCGCGTTTGACCTCGATAAACCGCTCGATTTCGCTGGTCTCCGCCCGCGTTCTTTAACGATCGACGACTCGTTTCGGGGAGAAGGAAAGACCGAAGGAGGGAAAACGGGAGCATCGATGTCGATTTAACCTCGGAAGAAGAAAGCATCGAAAAAGAAAAGCGAGAAAAAACTGGCGCGCCGAGAGACGCGGTTCGACTCGCGATTTCTATGCTTGTCGGCTATTTCGGCGCCGATGCGAAAGAGAAAATCGATACGGAACACGTTGCGTCAGATACGGACGACTGACGTCATATCCAGTTCATTCATCGCGATACAAGTACCGTTGGCCCGCAGTTTCGCTTACGCCGTGAATGGCGAGCTCGTTTCTGGTATAGGGGGATGACTCGACCCCGTTCAGCCTTCAGCGATTTTAATTTCGAACCGGACGTCTCGTACGTCGATCGACTTCTATTTTCTTCCTTTTCGGGTTTCGGTATTTTCATTGCGCGTTACTCTCTTTGTCAGCCGTATGAATAAGTTCTCGCGACCTTTTACGAAAATACGTTTAATACGATAAGAACGCTTTAACGGCATTAACCCTTTAAATACGACTGCCGTCGATAGACGAGAAAACGAAAATTTCGCGAAACACGTCTGTCGTTGGCGAGCGACGTCGCGTATCGATAATTGCGTTGAATTTGCCATCGTTTTGCGTTTGGAGGGAACGATTTATAAAAACGTACTCGTGCTCGAAGGATTAATCGAAGCGTGTTCCATTGAAATCTATCACTTTTTGCCATGTCTCGGATAACGTATGAATACCGCGGTGAAGAGATCGTTTTATCCTTTCAACGAATACGATGATAAAGACATCGACCCATTTTCCTGACCGCGGCAACTTATTTACTGGTTGTTTTATCGCGAAATACCTGATTTTTTATTTATATTTCATTTAATTCGTTTCCAATTTGTTTCTTGGTATAGGTGTTATTTATATAAGTATTTATGTTTAATTATGGTATGTAATTCTCGTTACTAATTATTACCAGTTTCTCCTTACTAATTTTTTTTTTATAAAAGAAAGGCTTGCTTTCATTAGGATGCTAATTACAATTTAAGCCTTCTGTTACGGCAACCTCTCGAGGATTATAAGTTGGGGAACTCCGTCACACACAACGGAAGGAAACTGCGTTTCAGGTGTATCCACAATTTGTTATATAAATTGACTTAGATTTTTAAAAGATCTTGGCATTAATGTGTAATTTTTTGTGCACATTTGATCGTTATATGATTTAATTAATTAATATAGTTTAATCGTTAGATTCTTTCTTTCGATGCCTCGATACACAGTGACTACAAAAAGCATTTGCACGCCATTATTTATCGTAGTATTTGCACACTAATCGATTAAATCCAAGAACATAAAGTTTCGTATCACATAGCGATGATTCGTACAAAACTAAAACGTAGAAGCTGATAAAAATCGCTTGGCTAGAAAATAGAGATATGCGCAAACATTTTTTGCAGTCACTCTATATGACAAATTTGTTTTAGTTCCGCGACCTCCAAAAGTTTGATCGATCTTCTTCAAATCGATTCGATTCAGCTCGAATGAATGAATAATACAAATACGAAATTTCTATAGAAATACCGCGCTTACTAATCTCCCTTAAACGAAACACAGATTTATCGTATCTGCGGGTCCATAGAGAATCGCAAGATGGTAAATTAAAGATCAAACATTAGTTATCATCATGGACAAAATTGTGGAATTTTTACAAGAACATCCGGGCCATAGTGCGGTGAACTGGAAATGACAAATCTACCATACTCCGCTCTGGAAACAATTACGCGACTAGAAATTTAAGAGAGCGATATAGGTCAGCGCCGAATCAGCCGTATTTCCTCTCTCTCTCTCTCTCTCTCTCTCTCT